GTACTTTTTCTCATTTCCTTAGGACAAATTTCTAGAAACAGAATTATTAGGTCAAAGGATAAAAACATTTTAGGGTTGTCAAATCATCTTTCAAGAATTTACATTTCTACTAACACTGTTTTCTCCATATGCTTTCCAATATGAGGTTTTGAGAAGCTTTCAAAAATACCAACCCCTTTGAAATTGTTCTTTTCAACTTAATCAAGTTCTTTTGCACAAAAAAAGTATCATGGGTTTGTACTGATTTCCTGCTAAACCCTTTTAAACTTTATCTTGAGCAGTTTATACAAGACCCAAGGCAGTGTGGACCAAATGCTCAGGGAAAGAACAGTAGTTCTGACTGATACCTCTTCCTGGAAACTGAGGCATTAGGAAGGAAACAAATTCAATAGGTCCTGGGCAGCTTTCTGGGGGTAGCAAAAGCACGGGCTTCTAGGAAACTGGTACTAACTGCCAGCTCAGTTACTAACTGTGTGACACTAAATGGCTTTGGTTTTCTTCTATTGTGTTCTCATCTGCAGAATAAGGAGAATATTATCTACCATACATTGTGAGTATGACTGGTGGGAGTGGCACATGGCAATTCAATTAATTTCAATTGTATACTTCTGAGGCTCAAATAAAAAATATAGGAAAAAGGACACTAACCTTTTCTGCAAAGGTGAAAATTTTTCTCTGATCAACACCTCCAAATTGAGCATCTACTTTTAAATACTCTTCATCCAAAGCCTGGGGAAAGAAAAAAATGAGCATAAACACCTATGGTATTTCTTCCCTATGAGTCTGAGAAATCAGAAACTGTAGAATCACTAGGTTTTTCAGAAAGCAGAGCCAGGACAGGGGTTGGGAGTGGGGAACAGCAGTGGGCAAGAGCTGCATCAACAACTGCTAAGCACTAGAGGAAAACATAAGTCCATGTGGATGTCATGTGATAAAAACGAGAAGACTAGTCTCTGCTCTCAGGATGCTCCTAATCCAGTGGAAAGGGAGGGAAGAAAAGGCAAACCACAGCCATGTCAAAGGTAACTCATTAAATAAGGCAGCCTGTGACACATGTCAAATAAGTAGCATAAATAAGTCTGGGGCTGGGGTTGTGGCTCAGTGGTATGGCGCTTGCCTTGCATTCATGAGGCACTGGGTTCAATTCTCAGCACCACATAAAAATAAATAACATAAAGACATTGTGTCCATCTACAACTAAAAAAATATTTAAATAAATCCAGCCAGAGGCTGGGGCTATAGCTTAGTGGTGGAACACTTGTCTAGCATGTGTGAGGCACCACATAAAATAAATAAATAAA